GCCACCCCTGGATGAACCCCATCGTAGTTGGCAGGTCGGCACCGCTCAGGTGAGCTGGAGACAACACCCCAAAGTGGGCCGGCGGTAGCACTGTACATTCACAATGACCTGCACACCAAATCGGCCATGAACATGGTAGGCCAGAGACCAGGGATGTGCATGTGCCTCTGAAGACCCCTCCATCTACCACCAACTTCTCTTTGTTCTTCTGACCTTGGCTCTTCCTCTTTTCAGCTGATACCTTGGCAGATCGTTCATGGAGAAAGTGGATCCCATCTGGCAAGAGGAGAACCATCTTCCCAACCCATGAGAAAGGAACAAGCCTGGGCCCTCACCCACCCTGTCCCTGTCTGCCTGCCCAGCCCCATCATGTCAGAAGAACATGTCCCCCCTCCAGTGTGAGGCCAAACCCCAGGGACAGGACTCAGAGGTGAAGGAAGCCTGAGCATTGTTTATCGCTTTGGGTACTTTTACAGAGAAGACAGCAAAGAGAAAACAAACAACTCCATCCCCCCAAAGCAGCAGGTGAAGAGGGACGTGCGGAGCTTTCCCCTCCGTCTCCCTGGCAGCAGGAGACAACACATCCATCCCCCGCCCCCACCCCCACCCCCCATGGGAGACGTCCTCCCTCCTCCTGGCAGGAGAGTGACAGTGTTATCGTTCTGCAGGGAAAGATGAGAAAGAGTGAATTCTGTACACACAGACCTTGTTGACCGTGCTTCGCATCCTCCTCAGCCTCCCCACGTGGTGCAGTTCCTCTCCCACAATCCCCTCTCTCTGTTCAGCCCAACAGGAAAGCATTTAGGTTTTGCCACTTCTCTGGGTGTTCCTTCACCTCCTTAGCAGGACGCCCCGGGTCATGTAAAACTTAGGGGTAATAAACGTGTCTGCTTCCCTCCTGTGAGTCTGTCTCATGTGCACTTAATTCTCAGGACGAGCTGTCAGCTCTGCGAGGGTGGAGGGGTAGTTTTGTCTCGGCGACATCTTTCTTACTGGCATCTTTGAAACTGACCTCCTTCCTTGGCTTGACTCCTCAGGATGCTGACATCCTGTGAAGATGAAATGCATTCTTACCATATGATCCAGTCCTCCAACTCCTTGGTATCAATGGACCCAAATGGGTCAAATGCTTACATCTACACAGAAACCTGCACCAGGACATTTAAGGCAGCTTTATTCATACCTGCTAGAAAGTTGGAAGCAACCAAGATGTGCTTCAGGAGGTTAATGGACACATAGACTGGGCTGCATGTATGCAACAGAATATTCCTCAGAACCAAAAAGAAGTGACAGATCTATTGAGCCATGGGGAGACAGGTGGGGCACCTTAAATGCCTGTTAGTCACTAAGAGAAGCCAATCTGGAAAGGGGGCACATCTTGGGGTCCCAACTACATATGAAATTTGAGAAAAGGCAAACCACGGAAAGGGTGAAAAGATCAGTGCATTGCCAGGGGTTTGCTGTGGCGTGGATGGTAGGGGGTGATAAAGTGGTTGAGCACAGAGGATTTTTAAGGCAGTGAAACTATGCAGTGATGGTTTCATGGTGAGATACGTTTGTCAGAACCCATAGATTGCACATCACCAGGAGTGAGCCCTGATGTAAACTCTGGGCCCTGGTGATCATGATGTGTCCATGTAGATTCAGCAGTCGTGGCCGGCACACAGAATGTTGATAGGACAGTTGGGGGCGGGAGGCTCTGAGCACCTGTGTGTGTGTGTCTGGGACTGGGGGATGTGATGAGGGGAGCAGCAGGAGCAGAGCAGGGGGCGTATCGCATTTCTCTGTACTCTGCTCAATTTTGTTGTGAGCTCAAAACTGCTTTCAAAAAAATAAAGCCTATTTAAACAAAGAAACGCACAGTCCAGAAGTGTCCCATGGCTGCTCCTCTTCGAGTCCGCGGTTTGTCTTGGCCACGTGAGCGTGGAACTTCCGATGACATCGTTTGTTCACAGTGCATCCTTTTAAAGTTTTATCTGACATCTGCTTTTTATCTCATTACCCTTTTTTCTTTTGTAAAAATGTTTTTTCTTACTTAAAAAATTGATGTGTGAATGACATGTAGTATTGTATTAGTTTTCTGTTACACAACGTAGTGATTCGATATTTCTGTGTGTGGCAAAATGATCACCAAGGTGAGTCTAGTTACCACTGGTCACCACACAGGGTTTGCACAGTGTTGCGGACCCTCTTCCCTATGCTGTAAATCACATCCCATGATGTTTGTTGTATGGCTGGAAGTTTGTATCCTTTAATCTTTCTCACCTATTGCACTTGTACCCCCAACCCTCTCTCCTTTGGCAACCACCGGCATGTTCTTGGGATCTATGAGTCCATTTCTGTTTCCCTGTGTTTGTCTGTTTGTTGTGTTGTGTACACTCTACATAAAAGTGACAGAAGAAGACTTCTCTCTTTCTCTATCTGATACATCTCGCCTAGCATAATGCCCTCTAGGTCCATTCCTGTTGTTGCAAGATTTCATTCTTTTTTATGGCTGAGTCATTTTCCATTTTGTGTGTGTTTAAAAAATGTGTGTGTGTGTGTGTGTGTGTGTATATGTATATGTACACACACACTCACACAGAAAGATACCCCCAAGTGTAATTCCTGCATTATATGTTCTGTTTTCAGTCTTCTGAGGAGCCGTCGTACTGTTTCCCTCAGTGGCCGGAGCAACGGGTGTTCCCAGCAGAAGTGAGGAGGGTTCCTTCTCTCCACGTCCTCACCAGTGTGTGTCGTTGGCTGTCTTTTGGACGATAGCCATTCTTTCAGGTGTGGAGAGGTCATGTCACTGCAGTTTTGATGTGCATTTCTTTGATGATGAGCAATATTGATCATCTTTTCGTGTATCTGTTGGCCATCTGTGTATATTCTGTGGGAAAATGTTTGGTCTTCTGCCAATTTGCAAATAAGGTTTTTGGTAGTTGAGTTGTGTGAGTGTTTTGTTGGTCTGTTCTGGATATGAACCCCTTTCAGATGCATTTTTTGTGACTGTTTTCTCACATTCAGTAGGCTGCCTTTTCATTTTGTGAATGGTTTCTTTGTTGTTCTAAAGCTTTTCAGTTGGATGGAGTCCCAGTGGTTTATTTTGCTTTTGTTTCCTTTGCTTGAGGAGACAGATCCAAAAGATTATTGCTAAGACTGATGTGAAAGAGCTTACTTGCCTGTATTTTCTTCCAGGAGCTTTATGGCTTCAGGTCCTACACTGAAGTACTTGATTCATTTAGAGGTGGTTTCTGTAGATGGTATGAGAAGGGATTCCAGTTGATTCCTATGCATGTAGCTGTCCAGTTTTCCCAGCACCACTTGTGGAAGATGCTGTCTTTCCCCCATTGTATATACTCACTTCTTTTGTCATAGGCGGATCAACCACATAAGCATGGTTTTATTTCTGGCCTCTTAATTCTATTCTATGAATTTATGTGTATTTCTTTTGTGCCAATAGCATACTGTGTTGATGATTCTAGGTTTGTAGTAGAGTTTGACACCAGGGAGCATGACACCAGGGTTTGTGCTTCTTTCTTAAGATTGTGTTGATTATTCACGTTCTTTTGTGCTTCCACACACAGTTTAGGATTGTTTGTTCTGGTTCTCTGGAACATTCCATTGATGTGTCGCTAGGATTGGCGTCCAATGTCTAGACTGCCTTGGAGTGTGGGATCCTGTTAGCAGTACGATTTCTTCCAGCGCACGAGGACAGTGCAGCTTCCCACTGTCTGTGCCCTCGGTGCCTCCCAGCTGACCGAGTGCAGGTCCGTGCCTCCTGGGTCAGGTGTGCTCCTGGGTGTTTCGGTTTGGTTACGGTCGTTGTCAGCAGCGTTGTTTTCTTAATTTCTCATTTGCTACCTTGTTGTGAGTGCATAGACGTGCAACCAGTTTATGTCTGTTTGTTTAGTATCTTGCAAGTTAATTGAATTTTTTGATGAGTTCTGTTTATTTTTCAGCGTCATCTTCAGGACTCTCTATGTACAGTATCGTGTCATCTACAAACAGTGACAGACTTACTGCTTCCTCTGTCATCAGACCTCTTTTCTTTTTTCCATCTATTTACTATGGTGGGGACCCCCTAGACCATATTGAATGAAGGTGGTGAGAGGGGTCAGGGCTAGAGTTGGGTTTGTGCATAACTGGCCCTCTTCCCCTCCCTCCGCCTCCATCTCTCTGAGGCCTCCAGGAAGGACAGGCCCAGTGCAGGGTGACGTATGGCTCAGGGAGCTGAGCTGGACCATTGCTTTTTCTGCACCCTCTCCCTCCCCCACGGGGTCCTGGGCATATTTTTGCGTGCTACCTGTGTATCTTCTTTGGCCAGGTGTCCTTTAGATCTTGCCCTATTTTTAACGGGGTGGTCTGTATTAGAGTTCTTTATATTTTGAGACAAGTCCTTTATTAGATGTGTGTTTGCAACTCTTTGTCTTCTAGTTTGCGACTTGCCTTTTGATTTTCTGAATAAGGTCTTTCACAGAGTAGAAATTTTTAATTTTATGAAGTTAATGATATTCCTTGAGTTTCTTTCTGGATTGCCTTTCTGTGTTGTGTTAAAACTCAAAGCTCATGATCTACATGACCAAACCCAAGCTCATGGTGATTCTCTTCTGTTTCCTTCTATAATTTTGAATAGCTTTGCATTAGAAATTTATCTATGAATAATTTTGAGTAATGTGGTGTAAGTTGTAAAGTTTGCATCTGCATTCATTTCATTCCATACGGTCTCCAATGAATTGTTCTTTAACCTTTGGAGAAGTAAGGGATTTTGTTTCCATTTGAATTTCCAGTTTAATGGATTCAGCAGTTCCCCCAGCAGGGGGCGCTGTATCCAGTGGACTGTGAGTGGGGCCTGTATGTCCTGCACTGACCATGGGGCACGCGTGTCCCACTTGGAGTTGGCTCTGCACGCAGCTGAGAGGAGTTTGTCTCCTCATTTACTGCCAGGGCTGCAGGTTGGGACACACAGCAGGTCAGTGTCTATGCAGCAGGAGCCCATCCTCCTTGGGACCCACCAGGGCTGCAGGTTGGGACACGCAGCGGGTCAGTGTCTATGCAGCAGGAGCCCAGCCTCCTTGGGACCCACCCCAGCTATGGCTTCAAGACCACACTGGGCAGTGTCCATGCAGACAGGAGCTGGGTTTCCCGATGACTCAGGTGCTGCCGGGATGAACAGGTGAGGAAAGATGGGGAGAAGCTCCCTGTGTGCAGCTGATGGTTTGTGGGGGGTGGTCTTCAGATAACCAGGAAGGGCTTGGTGTGTAAAAGCAGGTTTTATAAGTTTTGTATGCGGTGTAGACGGCATGTGGTGTCCAGTTTCCCCAGCACAGCTTCTTGGGGGACCGTCCTTTCCTCCTGGTGTGTCTGAGCCCCTTTGTCATACCTTAACTGACCTAGTCCCCGTGGATTTGTTTCAGGGCTCTCCGTTCTATTCCTCTGGTCCATGTGCCTGTCTCTGTGCCAATTCTGTGCTGTTTTTGTGACTAGCTTTGTGTTGTAGTGTGAAGTCAGGGAGGGCGATGCCTCCAGCTTGTTCTCCTTTTTCAGGAATAAGAATTAAAATAATTATAAGAAAGTGTACAATAGATGCTAATTTGGGTTCATGCAGCCAAAGAACAAAACTGAAGCTGATATCAGTGCAGCACAAGCTTTATTCAGTGGTCAAAGACTGGAGCAGATCAACTTCTCACCCACATGGTGAGAGGGATTTGATTTTAGAGTAAAGACAAAGGAGGAGAGTGTTTGTGTCTCAGCTGGGGAGCCCTTCTCGGCTCTCTCTGTTGGAGCAGCTGCAGTGCCAGCCCCTGCTGAGGTGAGCAGTTCTGGGGTTCTGGGCAGTGTCGCCTGGCCTGGTGAGGTGCTCAGTGCCAGGGAACCAGGAGCCAGCAGCCTAGCGGGGGTGCTGGGGACCCTCATGGCCCTGGCAGACGTCTCTCCCAGCAGAAGCCCAGCCAGAGTGGGGAAGCTCTGGGGGACTACAGGTGGGAGGGAGCCACCATCTCACTGATGCTTCAGAAAGTTGGCATGGGATGTGAGATGCACTGTTGGGGCAGGAGCTTTATCAGGGCCTGATGGAGGAGCCGGGCACAATATCCAGCTTGGGCCAGGGCTGTAGAGGGGAAGTCCTGTGGGAACAGGCTCTGGAGGAAGAGCTGACTGTCATGGAAGCACAAGGAAAGTGGCGACTGGGAGGCCCCAGGTGTCTGGGCTCAGCAACCAGGGGAGGTGGGGCTGCCTCCTGGGGTGTGGGGAGTGGCAGGGGTCACAGTCCTGTGAGGGGCCTCTTAGCCTCAAGGTGAGAGGAGGACGCAGTGGTTAGACAGATGCATCTGACCTGGGAGAGGGGCCCAGGGAGGAAGGGGAGAGGCTGAGTGGGGGCAGGTGGGTTACAGCAGACTCCATGCAGGGGACTGTGGTCCTGATGCAAGCAGCTCAGAGCCAGAGAGGAGTGGCTGTCAGGTGCTCAGCTTCACTCTCCTGTTCCTTTGTAAAACCACTGTGTCAGAGTTTGAAACACCACCAGGAGACCCCTGAGCCCACTGCAGCTCTGGCTTCATCCAAGGGGCTCAGGTGGAAAACAGAATGACTGCAGGCCCCGCCCATGTACCCACAGGGAACGAACACCATCAGGGCACTGGGCTCAAAGACTTCAGGAGACCACGGCCCTCAGGGCTGGTCTCCTCCTTGCTGTCACCTGCTGGTCAGAGGCCCAGGTGCCCCATCCTGGCTCCACCCTCTAGGGCCTGGATTTTGGGACAGCTTGTGGGTAGGGCAAGACCCTCACACTCCTTTATCTGCCTGAGGGTGAG